ACATTTCAAAATCCCTATTGCACAGCACTTCAACTTAAAAACCAAAATAATGGGCGCCTCGGTGGCTCGGTTGTTAAGCGTCTGCCTTCGGCTCAGGTCATGATCCCAGGGTCCTGGGGTTGAGCCCCACATCGGGCTCCCTGCTCAGCGGGAAGCCTGCTTCTCCCTCTCCCCCTCCCCCTGCTTGTGTTCCTGCTCTCTCTGTGTCTCTCTCTGTCAAATAAATAAATAAAATCTTTTTTTTAAAATCTTTTTTAAAATCTTTTAAAGATTTTATTTACTTATTTGAGAGAGAGAATGAGATAGAGAGAGAGCATGAGAGGGCGGAGGGTCCGAGGGAGAAGCAGACTCACTGCCGAGCAGGGAGCCCGATGCGGGACTCGATCCCGGGACTCCAGGACCATGACCTGAGCCGAAGGCAGTCACCTAACCAACTGAGCCACCCAGGCGCCCCAATAAATAAAATCTTAAAAAAAAAAACCCAAAATAATGTGCAACTGTCTTCCCGATGAATTCCATTCTTTAGAAAATCATAATGAAGCTTCCGTTTTGCAGTAAGCTACTTGTGAACACTGGCAGATGTATTAAGCAATTTGAAGTTAAATTAGAAGAACATCCTTAATTGAGTATTACATACATCCGCAGTAGGAATGTCTCATGATTTTACTGAAAAACTTAATTTTACCCACGTTTTGGATTGTCATCTAAAACTACTGGTATGAAATAAGACATGGCTAAGGTGTTGTCTCGTCTGGGTTGTGAGTGACAAGCAGGAACTTCCATAAGACACTAGGGATTGGTCAGCATTTAAAGGACAGTGCAGGGCTCAAGGTCACCGGCCATCACCGCATGTGCACAGGCCCCACAGCCGGCTGGCCCGGCCCCCACCGTGCCCAGGGGCCACCCCGAGCCCCAGCTGCCCTCGAGCACCGCCCAGCTGTGGCCAAAAGCTCAGCAGAAAGCTTCCTGCCTCTGGCCAGCACTTCTCTCCGACATGGACAAAGTCCTGGTCTCCTTCTACTTCGACAAAGAGGAAAGAAAGTGCTTTCCTCAGGGGCCGGCCCAGCAACTGGGTGCACTAGGCCGTCCCCTGTGAGGACCGCCCGCGGCTCTCCCGGGTCTGGCGGAAAGAGCATCGTGACCATGTCAGCCCGAAAGCAACGCTGTGCAGTGGGAGGTTCCTCCTTCCACTTCCTGACCTGGTGGCCACTCCTGCACCCCTGCCCGGCCCACACAGCCCGGCCACCAGGGAGACATCTGTTTCCTGTGGCACTTTCTGCAAGACGGGAACCGACCTCGAGGAGACGGGGGGTCGGCAGGCCAGCGCCGTGGCTCCCGCGTGGCTCAGGCAGGGCCTCCGGCTTCCAGTCTGACGTACAGAATCTCTGGGCTCCCCAGCCTGGAGCCGTCTGACAACTCTTGTCCAGAAGGCAGCCACATGATGGCTCTCCTCTGTCTGGAAGCCATGGGATGGCCGCGACTCGAGGTTTTCCTGCCAGAGACCCTTTCCAAGAGGGGACAGGTTGAGGCTGCCGATCAGGAGGGCAGGGTCACCTCTGTGATGTGGTTCACACCCCCTGTTCAATAAACAGTCTCCTGATGAATAGCTGCCCGCCCTCTTCCTTCCCCACACGCCCATCCCCCGGCCGTGATGCTAAACGTGGCAGAAGCACCCACGCCCTTCCAGAAACCCCAGGACTCATTTTGGGAAACATTTTCATAATTAAAGTCTTTTGAGAAATTGCTATTGTTTCTGGAACCTACCTCTTTCTAGAGGTAACTCAATTGTGCCTTAGGGGAGGCCCACCCCAAACGGTCCTGCTTAGTTTTAAGCCCATGTTTCTCCAATCCTTCCCTCTTTAATTGGGCAAGTCTTTCCTCCAAACGGCCCGGGTGCCCAAAGCATAATTACATCTCCAGCATATTTTTAGAAATTATTTATTTCAAACATTTACGATTTTCACTTTGAATGGAAAATAGCTGATAAAAAGAAAAATACTGAAAAACATTATACTGACCCTTTGCCCCATATACAGACATCAGCCTTTGGTATTTGCTTTCAGGTAATTAGGTAAAAAAAAACAAACAAAAATTAAAACTTATTTTTCTCCAAAAAAAAAAAAAAGCTGAGGTATTGTATTTAACAGGTGTGTGATCCCCATCCAAACATGGTGTCTCTGCTAATTCACAGCCTTGCTACGCACTGTTCCAGTCCTCTTTCTACAGCAGACCTTCATCTGAGCACATGTTCATAAAACCGACAGCGTTCTTTAATAATCAGTAAGGTTGTCATAGAAACTCCCCAGCTCTGCCACCAGGCCACACGGAGGACGCGATGCTGGAGTGCCGCAGGGGACACGTGGGGGACAGACGCCGAACCAGCTGGCCTGCCTCCCAACAACAGCCCCACTGCCGCCTGCCACGTGAGAAAGCCGGCGTGGCCTCTGAAGGGCCCCCCGTCATCCCTGCTTCTCCAGATGAAGACCCATTTCTCACGAACTCCACCTGAAACTGAAGGACAGACTCTTCCCCAAGTAGGTCAACCTTCAGTACCTCTGAGGAGGCAAGACAATCCTGAATTTTCTGCAGGAAGCCCAGAAACCATGACCAGGCCCAGCCTGCCCGACACGGCTCTGCTCACCACCAGGTGGGCTCCTGACACCTTATCAAGGTGCCCGCCCCTGGGCAAGACCTCGTCAGAGCAAAGAGCTCTCGGGGTCACCGAAGGCTTTGTAGGTCCATTCAATGCTACCCCCTTGACATTTCAAAAAAGTTTTCATTAATGCTACAAGAATTACTGAGCACATTTAGACCTTGAACCAGCATATTTTCAGCTTTTCCCACCCAGCAAGGGGAGCTGTCCTCTCGGGTCTGGCTGTGCTACAGGTCAGGTAGGTAACATCTGTCGAGGACAGGCAACAGGCGCCCTGCAGGACCCAGGGGCGGTGACCACGGGTAGGGGCGCGCTCACGGCCCAGGGATTTGAGCACAGAGCTCAGCGGGTGCACCGGGGCTCCCAGAGCACAACCTGCGACCCAGAGGAAAACGCTCTTCCTTCATTCTCTAGCTTATGTAGAAATAGAGGGAAAAAAACCCTCTCCAATACAAAAAAAAAAAAAAAAGGCAGTTTCATTACAATAATAATGAAAGCAATAACAGTTTGGAGATCAAAGCACGGCTTTCAGCAGCCAGACACTGTCTGCTATCTGCCGGTCCATCTTCCACCATCTCAGCTCCAGTAAAACCCAACCTCGCCAAGAGGTAAAGACCTTTCTCATGCACATTCTCGTTTTGCATATTTCCCTTTAACGGCATTTTTGCTGTTCTCAAAGAAACTAGAGAAAAACAACAACAAAAAACACCTGCCTAACTTCGGTCAACTGAAGACTAGTTGCCTAGAGCAGCAACAGGGCCTGAGATTTACAGACTCAGGCAGCGTGGCCTGAACCTGGCAACCGGTAAGGAAACACGGTCATTTTCTTCCTCTCGCCACCTGTCTGGTGCTGGTGGTCATTTGTCTAAAAAAGCAGGCTACTAGAAAAGTCTGTGGTCTGGTAAATGTTCAGCGGTGGTTACGAGGCTGCCTGTAACCACAGCTTCATTCTGGGACACCCCATGCTGCTCGAGGGCCCTCGTTTGGGTGACCACACGCATCCCTGAATCGTCAAAGCCCGGACTCACCACGAGGGTGCTGGCGCAGCCACGCGGCTACAGTCAGTGGGTGCTCTGATCCTAGCTGAGCTGATTCAAATCGAGGAACTAAGAAGACCCCAAGGTGGGGGACTTTGTAGGGAGACCCCTCCCGCAACCAAGGGCTTGGGGGTGGGGGCCGGACACCCTCTCCGCCGCCGTGGCCTGGCAGGGTGAACAGCTGCTTTCCCCAGGTTAAAGGAGACAGACTATGTTCTCACTTTTTAAGACAAAAACAAGATGTAGAATGAAACCAGACTCTCTGCTCTAAAAGGAAAATTATCTTTTCTCCTCCTTTTTCACTTGACTCAGTTTTGTGCTAAACAAGGTTATTGTGCTTTTCCCCCAAGTTACTCATATACTGACACTCAGCAAATACTGGCTCTCCCAGCCTCGAAGATAAAACAGCAGTTTGGGGGTTTTTTAAGAAAAACAAGTTAAAATACATTCTTGCCAGGTTCTTTGTCTTTTCACATAAACATTATCTTCCCTTGTTTCTCAGGCTCAGCTGAAAACAAAGTAGAAGAACAGCAGTTGCGACCCGCCCCCCCAAGGCAGAAGCCTGCCAGTCCTCGTAAGGGAGCAGGCGGGGGACAGGGAAGCTGGCTTCCAGAGTCCGGGTCCCCGCAGTGCCGCCCCTAGGGAGGACACGGAGGCCTGTCTCCTCACGACCCTCCCCTCTCTCCTCTGCTTCTCTCCTCCTGAAGTCCTGGGATCCAAAGAGGGAAGTGGAGCCAGTGCACCTGCTCTGGATTGAGCAAGTGCCCGGATCGCCATTCACATTTAGCAAAATGCTAATGAGGAACTAATTACAATTCCATTTCAAACCACCAGGCCCTGAGATCCTAGGCGACTCGCTGTGCTATTTTCAGGTATGGGGAAGAAAGGCAGGTGCTTCTCCCATCCTCAGGCCTGGAAAGGCTGAATTGCAAAGGCACGTGGGCTCCAAGAACTGAGGCTGGAAGGCGGAGCTGCTCGGCAGGCCAGGAGATGCCCAGGGAGTCTCAGCTGGAAATCGGTCCCATCTGGCGCAGGCTGCCACTCACGCAGAGGAGTCTGGGTGCGTGGGTGGCCGGCGGCTCGTCCACCTGAGTGTCCAGCACGATGGTGACCTGCCTCCTCCGGGGGTCGACCCCTTTAGGCACTTGGGAAAGGGTGGTTCCAAGACTCAACCACCTCTTCCTTCGGAACGGAGGCAGCAACCCTGTTTTGGGAAGTGAAGCACCTTCCATGAGGCCCCGGCACCTGAGATGAGCTAGTTTGTGCTTCGTCACTCACGAGGCTCGGAGGGCCTGGCACCCCGCCCCCCACTATCTGGGGAAGAAGTAGTCTCTGTTGCTGATGTCGTAAGGGCTCTGCGGGCCCCTGGCATCCGGTCGGCCATGCCTCGAGGTGCTGTCAGACCCAAGGCTGCTGGGGGACACCGGCGGGGACATGAGGGGCACCAGCACCGGGGTGGGCTTGGGCCTCTCGGGAACCCGCTGTCCCAGCGAGTACGGCGGGTGCGCGCTCGCCTTGCCCTCCTTCAGCGTGTGCAGCTTCCACGTCTTCTTGAACCTTCACAGGGACAAAGACAAACCACACAGGTGCTTAGCTCCCCCGTGACAAGCCCAAGTGAAGAAGGGCAGCTCTCAGCTCAAAACGCGGAAAACCATTCATTCCATCACCAGGGGTTATGCAACACTCTTTCAAAAACACTCGGGGCAGGGGGGCAGGTACGTATTGTTGGTCCCGTTGACAAATGGGGAAACTGAGGCCTGTGTGGCCATGAGCATCCCTTTATGGCACTAGGGACTTAATTGGTCCTGTTCCAGAGGCTGCCCACAGGTACACATCATGGGTCCCAAACCCATTTACTTAAAAAACAGAGGGTATTCTTTCCGTGTGGAAGGAAAACGGGCCTCCTGACTCTGGGTCAGGTGAAGGCGGGCGGGGGCAGGTAACTGGCAGCGGGACAGGGCTGCCCACTCCCTCAACAGCCCTGCCCCTCCTCTTGCTTCCAACCCCCCAGCACCTCTGGCGGGTCCTCACAGACCCCGCCGTGGGTACCACGCGGGTACAAGTGACTCATCTGGCAGGAAGGGGACGCTAAACAGGAAGGAGATAGACATCTCTCTGATCACAGCTCCCCTCGCCCGCTCAGCGCTGGGCCCACAGCCAGGGCTCAGGAACTGAGAAAAGTCACTCGGCTGACCAGAGACACGAGCCGGCGATAGTCGTCTCCAGAGCCGCGTCAGGGCCCCTGGACCCTGTCCCTGGCTCCCCACTGTCGCCCACCGACCCCAGAGTGGGGCCATGTGCCTCCCTCGGGCCCACCTCACATCAGCCGCTGCTCCAGGAAGGGCTTGGAGGGAGGAGGGAAACCAAGGTCAAAAACAAGGTTTGGGGGTTTTCCTTGGGTTTCTTTTTATATCAACAGGCTATTCCTGTCCTGGTGACAATAAATCACTGACAGTTGGCTCCAAATCCGCCACTGGCATCAAGCCTGTGACCGAAGTGGAATAAACAGTGTGCGGGGCGTGACTGCAGGTCCCCACTCGGCATGGCAGGCACCCAGCGCAGCAGGGGCCTCAGGGGAGCCACCTCCCTCCGGACACAACAGGGGCAGTCAGGACACTCGGGGTTTCCAAATACTCAGACCCTCTGACCCAGGAATTCCACTTCTGGGAATACACCCTAAGGAAACTGCAGAGCTGTGGGAAAAGCTTTCTGCTCAAGGCCGTTCCACACAGTGTTGTCTGTAAGAGCAAAACCGGCTAAACCCCCTGCAGCTGAGGCTGGTGCATGAGCCTGGGCATACCGGCCTGGCGGCGCCTGCAGCCAAGGTTAAGTGAGCGCCACAGAGAAGCGAAATGAGGCAGAAACATGCTTATGTTACAGTTGATGCTAAAGGTAAAAGGCAGGACTCAGTTGTAGGTGCAGAGTCATCATGGCGACATAAAAACAAGAAAGTGGGCCGAGGAAAGAGCCTCAGGTAGCTCACCTAACATGAACACGTCTCGATCTGGATGCGGATTGCAAGGGTGTGCTCACTTTGTGCATGCTCGTGGAGCTGCACACGCAGCATCTCAGTTTCCTGTGTGTTTGCTGGACTTTGGTCACATTTATGTTTTAAAAATTAACAGCGGCTGGGCGCCTGGGTGGCTCAGTCGTTAAGCGTCTGCCTTCGGCTCAGGTCATGGTCCCAGGGTCCTGGGATGGAGCCCCGCATCGGGCTCCCTGCTCAGCGGGAAGCCTGCTTCTCCCTCTCTCACTCCCCCTGCTTGTGTTCCCTCTCTCGCTGTGTCTCTCTCTGTCAAATAAATAAAATCTTTTAAAAAAAGAAATACTTTGAGTGAATGAGATGCTTCCTAAAAATCACTAAGCTCAAAGCGACTTCGGGAGCAGCCAGGCTCGGGGTGTCCACAGTGGGCGCTGTTCTGGCCTGAGTGGGGGTCCGGGTGGGCCAGGGGCTAGAGAGGGTGGGGACTCGCTGCCCCGCCTCATACACCTCAGCCCCTGCGCCTTCTGTCTGCCGCACGTATTTGTGTTTCATGCCATTTTACTTAAAGAAAGGGCTCTGCAGCTAAAACAAAATTTTAGAAACATTTAGAACAACTGTCACTCTTTTAAACAAGTGACACAGAGAAACCAAGCCCCCTAGTGAGAAGACAGTGGACACAGCCACCCCCGTGGCCACCAGGAGTGCCCTGTGTTTTCAGTGGTTTTAAACTATTGGAACGAGACACACAGTTGATTCATGATGATTTAAATAGGCATGCCCACAGCAAGTCCTCACTCAAGTGCCACTCCATTCCCGATAAATATGCGGAAAAGTAACTCTCCGCTTTGAAAATCCTGTCTCCCGCGCCTCGAGGCGTGAGCCGCGGGAGGAGCGCAGGGGGGTATTGGCTGGGGGAAGCAGCCCGAGTGGGAACACCTGCTTCAGAAGCTGCCACACCTGTTTCCAAAGGCACATTTAAATGTTTTTTAATTGTCACGAATAATGGTGGGAAAATTTTAGGAAATACTATGCTTTGCTTGAGACGCACAATAAATGTATTACCCAGAAAAACACGGTCTGACGGTCGGGCAGGCTGTGCGTCAGCCATGCGGCATTCCACCCGCCGTGACGGGGCCTCCCGGCGCCTGCCGTGGCTCTCCCAAATTCCCAGCTTCCCCAAGTTTATACACCTTTCTCCACATGTGGGCTTTGGGGACATCACTTGAAATAACTGGCCTGTTCCCAAATACACTTGCTTTAGCCCAAGAGAAAACGGAACCTCACCAGGCCAGGAGACAAACCACTGACGAGCGTCCGCACGGGGCACGCGCCCCGTCCGCGTCTCCAGGGCACCAGCTGCGTAGCAACGAGCCCGTGTCCACAAACCGCCCCCAGATTAGCAAACAAGGTTCATGAGGAACGGGGTGGCGGACACTTCTCCACCAGGGGCCCACAGCACACCAGGACGGCGCGGCTCGTTAACAAAGCCGACAGCAGGCTAGCCTGGTGGGCAGGGATGCTGGGGACATGGGTTCTAGCCCTGGCTCCGCTACTAACAAGCTTGTATCCTTGGGCAAGTTATCTCACCTCTCAAGGCCGTTTCCTCATTTGTAAAATTAAAGAATTTGACGAACGGACCCCTAAGGCCCTATCCCAGAGCATGCGCTTCGGGCCGGAGTGGGCCTCCTCAGCACCAGCTCTCATTACCCCGACCCTCCCAGCTCCCGTCTCATCTGCCCAGTGGGAACGCTGCCGGCTACTCTGTCGGGGCTGTGTGGGTCCCTCAGGAGGCGGGAGGAGGAACATGGCACGCGGGCGCGGCCCCTCTCTGGTCCACACAAGACAGCGAGCTCTCAGCCCCCCACGAGCGAGCTCCCCACACTCGGAGCCTTGTCTCCCGCACACCCTGCGGGCAGCTTGCTCGCCTCTTCACTGGGGACTCGGAGCGGACACAACCCTGAACGCCGTCTGAGATGTCACCTTGCTCATCTTCCAACCCAGACCAGCTTGGTGGCAAAGCCGGTTGAGTCTCTGTGGGGATCCCACAAGTGGGGAAGTCTCTCTACCCCTTCCTCCCCAGACACCCCGAAGCCTCCCCTCACAGTCACCGCAAGAACGCTGGAGAGCCACACATGAGAGAGAAGAAGGAAGGACAGACTGGGGTTCCTCCTGCACTCGCACTCTCTTCGCCGAGGGCCGCCATCCGTGCCAGGGCCCGGCCTGACCTCCTTTACGTCTTCTTAGGTCTTCGGCACATGCAAAACCGCAAGGGCCTGCACTACAGTCGTGAGCACCGGGCGTGTTCTTTGCTGCCCCCGTAGGAGGGGTACTGCTGGCTGACATCCCTGCAAGCTTGGGAACAGGGACAAAACCAATGGCCAACGGGAGAGAGAGAGATGGAGCAACGCGGGCATGGCGCCAACTCACCGGCGCTGGAGGACAGGCCCGGACAGAGCACTGAAAGGTGACCCTCTAGGTCTGCTTGTTTTGAACTATGGAATATCCCCAAGGGGGTCTGGCCAGGCACCTCGGACTTGCCTGTTCACAGACTTCCGTGGCGTTTCTCACGTGGCCCTACAACCACGTCGGTATGTGGCTCTTGGAGGACAGGCAAGGTCATGTTACACGGCGGCCCCTGAGCCTGAGGGGCTTCCTCGGCGTCTGACAGATGCCGCCCCCTCCGCTTCTATCAAGCAGGCTTCCCAGTCCCTGCGCGTCCACACAAGTGTTCAACCTCCGAATTCCACAGGGACTGTCACGGCTTCATCTGCGTGCCGCCCTACTCGTCGGCAGTGATCCGAACCGTCTACCAAACATGTCCGCCCGGGCTTCTCACAGGCACCTCAAACTCCGCGCCCCCAAGCAGAATCACTGCCCCCTGTCGTCCCCCCTTCTCCGCGGGACTGACACCGCCATCCGCCCAGCTGCCAAGGCCAGAGACTCGAGGGCCACCCTGACTCGCCCCCTTTCCTTCTCCTCATCTAATGTGCCATCCAGTCTCGTCAGTTCCCCCTCTAATATACCCCAAATCAGCCCGAGGAGGAGGAGGGGGCCACCTCCGGCCGCCCCAGCCCCGCTCACCTCAGGACGATGCCGACGCACAGGAGAGTCCCAAAGGCCAGGCTTCCTCCGGCCACCAGGAAGGCAGGCAGCGGCACCGAAGAAGAGTCTTGCACTAGGAGAAGGAAGACCAGAAGAATCAGGAGCAGGAAGAGGGTGAGAAACCACTCAGCGGGTACAGTCCAAAGCCGCAAAGGAACCTCTGCCCTGGAGGAGGAAACGCTGTGCGAACCAGCAGTCCACGTGATGGGCTGGCCAGCGTTCTGGCCCCAGCAAATCTGACCCCAGGATCCCACCACTTGGAGCTGCTCCAAGTTTCCGAGCTCCTGTGGCCGGCCGCAGACGCCCACTCAGCGCGGCCTTCCTAGTGGGGTTCGGCCTCTCCCCACAAGGCACGGGGGGTGCAAGACACCGAAGGCTCTGGGGACGTCACCAATGGCAGCCCCACTGAGGACAATGTCAGGAACTTGGGTTAAATCAAGTTTTCGGGGTGCCTGGGGGGCTCAGTCGTTGAGCATCTTGCCTTCGGCTCAGGTCATGATCCCAGGGTCCTGGGATCGAGCCCCGCATCAGGCTCCCTGCTC